AAAAAAAAAAAAAAGTAGCATCTAACTATGGCTCAGTAAGATCTCAGTGTTCTATGACTTCCATTGTTTTCATTGTATAGACGTTGAAGGTTATCTTCTAGCCAGGCATGCCATACTGGTTACCATTTGTATTACAGTTGCTGAAGATGCCTTTATATGACATTGAAGTTAAAAAATGTGCGATTATTTAATGGCAGTTAAGAGCGGCACATAGATTTGGCAAAAACCATGAAGGAGGAAACAAAAAGGACTGGCATTAAGAAGATTCTGAGCTAGCAGTTCAGTGGACACAAGCGCAATGGGGTTAGGGAGCCTACCTTGGCTGTGGCGTGGGCCCGAATCTCAGCGCTGCCAGTGATGTCCAGCGTGTCATACAACTGCTCATACACCTGGGTGAGCATGCAGCAGCATTAGGGACCAGCCAGCTCCCTCCTGCCCTAGACACACAGGAGTCCAGGCCCAAAGCCCCTCTCTCCGCCCTACCCCCGAAACCGGAGCTGGAGGAAACTACAATTCCCAAAGAACCTGAAGCACAGCACCCTGAGGTGGGCCGCCACTGAAGCTGCCGAGAGGCATAGTCCCTGATCTCACTCTGATCGACCAGAAGGAAAACCGCGACTGCCAGCTCCTGCCGCGGCACCGCGCGCGCGACTCTCACCTCTCGGATGGCGGAGCAAAAGCGGCTCTGCAGGACTCGCTGGAGGGCCTGCAGCTTTTGCGGGGGCAGCTCCCCGCTGCGCTGGAGCCGCTCGAGGAGCTCCACAGCCCGGGACACGTCTGTGGGGCGGGAGTAGGCACGCGGGCACAGAGACACAAAGTATCAGAGACACCAAGACGCATAGCACCACCGAAAGGTGCGGCGGGAGATGGAGTAAGGGCGAGCGCAGACAGACCCGGTGAAGGACTGCCGAAGCACAGTCGGACATCCCGAAGAGTCGGAGATGGCAAGGGAGAAACTGCGACCAGCTAAGCGCCCTAAGTCCCCAAGATCGCACCCCCACACACACACACAGAGGCAGGCGTGTGCGTCGGCCGCTGCCACTCCAGTCCGCTCGCCCACGGACCCTCCCACACACTCGGCGCGCCAGGCTCCAGGCGACCCGCCCCGCCCACCCCCTCCAGGTCCTCCCGCCCACCCGCGCCCTCCTGGTCCAGGGCGGGGCGGGAGCTGGGATTCCGGGACGCAGGCCGCGGCCTGGAGGGCAGGGCCCCCTAGCGCGCGCTTACCCCGCTCCAACCCCAGAGGTTCCACCAGCGCAGCCATGTCTGTGCCACCACCACCAGCTGCCCGCCCGCTCTGTCGCCGGCGAGAAGGGAGGGGCTACGCGAGGCCACGCCCCAGGCGACTGGCGCCCCCTACGGAGGCGCCGCCTGGCAGGCGCTGCACTCCTGGGTGCCACGATTGTCCAGCCAGCCGCGGGCCCCGGTCTGTCTCGTTTGCCACCCTTCCTGTTGCTGACTCTGTCTGTCCCTTTCAGAATCCTTGTCTGCATCTGTTTCTGTCGTGTCCGCCACACCTCTCTATCTCCTTTTCATCCTTTCTCCACATTGAGTAAATGCTTGTAAAACATCTTCTGAGCCCAAGGCGATGGACTTGATGGTAGGCAGAGAAGACAAGCCCACTGCTTCACTGGAGCTTCCAGTCTATGAGGTAGACAATCAACTTCTGTGATAAGAGCTGAGGGTGGGGAAGTGATGACCTAGATGGAGAAAATCCTGGAGGAGAGACATTGCGGAGTCCTGGAAAGTAAGATCAAAAGGTGGGTTTGGGTCACACCCACCAGGGAGAAGGAGCCCATGTGGCTGAAGAGCAGCTTGGGACTGATTTTTTATGAAGGTGGAAACAATAGCAGGATACAGCTTATGCGTGGCCTCGTGTTAGCAAATGCATGTTGAGGATTTTGGGGGCGGGGGGGGAAGACAGAGTCTCACTGTATCATCTTGGGTAGAATGCCATAGTGTCATAGCTCACAGCAGCCTGAAACTCTTGGGCTCAAGCTATCTTCTTGCTTCAGCCTCCTGATTAGCTGGGAATACAAGCGCCCACCACAACGCCCAGCTAATTTTTCTTTTTTTTTTT